ACATAAATAAAAATAAACGGGTCGGGCGGATATTTTTTTTGTGGGGGCGGGTAGTTGGTGATTTTTTTTTTATGCGTGTGTGTTGTTATGGACATCAGAAATGTTATATTAATCAGGTACTGGGGTCACCCTTGTCTTAGCTTAAAGCCCTGCCGGCAGCGTGGGCTTGCCTCCAAAAAGGCCACAGTCAGTGCATACACGTCTGCTGCAGTGTTAATGGCGCTGTTCTGCAGTGCAGCGTACTATAGCCTATTACTTGATGTGTTAACGGGTCGGGTTGCGGGTTAAATATCAACGGGTCGGGTCGGGTTCGGATTTGAATTGAAGATATCCGCGGGTGACGGGTCGGGTTCGGAAGTCATCCTAACAGGTTCGTGCGGGTGCGGGTTGGTAAAACTCGACCCGTGCAGGACTCTAATTCACAGCCTAGATCTCCTTTTTACAATTGTATGTGCAAAGTTTGTCGAAGCATACCTGAAATCATTTTTCAGCCATTATTTTGGCGAGAAGTAGTTCTACACTAAATCTTTGAAGCAAATTGTAACAGCATTATGCAGCACAATTGGACTTCATTTACATTGTTCCAGACAGGAAAGAGAGATATATAACCTTATAGTCTAATAGCCTTCAATTATGGTGGGTCTAGTCTAACACTATGAGATGGAGTGCCCCAAACACCAGGTGTTTTTAATATTTCTATTCACTCTTCTTGGTTATGTTGCATTAAATTTGGTTAAATATGGTAGCTAAAGTGAGTGGTTCTTAGTGGTTCACAAAATATGGTTCACATAAAAAAACTGCAATAGGAGTTTTTTTTTAACAAAGAGTTGAAGACTGTCAAACTGACTCATCTCAATACTCCACACTTATTCTGTGACCCTCTGCTTATTCACATAAATATGTTCATGCAAAAGCAAATGTCAGGTTGGCTGACTCTTATCCTCCAGCAGTCTTTTCTCTTCCCTCTCCTTTTTGACCTTCATTTTGAGTTTATGAGAGTAACCTCCAATCCTATAAACAAGACACTGTCTAGCCACCCCTCCCACCAACACCACCACCGTTCACAAAGATCCACACATCCACATACTGTACATCCATGGTACACATACACACAATGGTTATTGGATTCATAACTGGGAGAGTCCTATCCTCCAGCTCACAGTGCAAGATGAGAGGTGGTGAAATGAAATTCTCCCTCTGAAAATCTCTGCTCTTACCTGGGATTTAGAAAATTTCTAGTAGGGCTTTCTCTCATTCTCTTCCCCTCCCTCACGCTTTCACGTGTACACAGGCACGCGCACACACTCAAATCAAGCCTAAGAGAGGCTGCAAGCTCAAAGAGAGAGTGAAAAATAAGTAGAGGGAGCAAAGGAGAGCCAGGAAGAAGGAGAGGGATTACAATAGGGTACAACTGGAATGGTAGTGGGACGAGGGAAAGGGGAAGAGGAGCTATGAAGGCACTTAAAAAGACATGGTGAGAGCTGAGTTTCACAGAATATTGATCTGTCCATCTCTGAGGCTGTGGAGAAAGGGACTAGGGAGACCAGGGGTAGTCAATGGATTTTAGAGAGACAAAAAAAGAAAACACAAATAGAAAACTTATCCGTTCCTATGGTAGCAGTGATATTGCTTTTTCTTTTTCTCTATTAGTAAATGATAAAGTAACATATTCTCTTCCTCTTTCTTCCTTTTCAAAACTAGAAAACCACTCTGAGAGCGAAGCCCTCCACCAAGTAACTAATTCCTTATGACGTGTTTCGACCTCCACCTTAAGATAACGTGTATTCAAAGAATCTTTAAAAAAAGATACCTGGATCCAGATGATGATCCTTATCAGCACCAAAATTGAATCATTTGTTGCCAGTCACAATACGCACCTTAGCTGAAGATTTAAGCAAAATCCATCCATAACATTTTTAGTTATTTTGAAAGCGAAAAAGGGACAGACAAACAAATCCAGAAGAAAAACATAACCTACATTGGCAGAGGTAATAATTACAAAATAGATTAATTCAGGTGTTCTGACCCTGATATATTTCATGGTCAAACTTTAAATCCACATGAGCCATTGGGGTCAAAGTACTTTTATTACTTAATTTGTATAGCTGTCACAACCTGACAAAGTTTGCAAGGCTGCTGCTCAGGAGACTTTGGACATATTACATGTCATCGTCAGCACAGAAACCTTATCTTGGTGTTTTAATTGCTTTCCCAATCTTAAAAGTTTACAACTGACCTTGGTAAAACAGCAGCATACCAAAATAACTCACTGGTATATAGCCCTTATTTACATGAGATAAAAACTCCACCCAAAGCTCAGTTTATTTCAAATTATTTACTCGTAAGTTGTCTGAAGATAAAAGGAACATGATAAAGCTGTTTCAAAGCAACAGGTAAAACTGATTTTAGCTTCTATGGTATCTTTTTTATTACCTTAGGTCATTCTGAGTTACCTCTATAATTTTGCTTCTATAGACGACACATAACTAGCACATGTATGCAACGTGAGGAGCTTTGAGAACCTGGGATGCAGTCAGAAAGATAGCTTGCATTGAAAAGGTTTATGGTACAGTTTGTTGTGAATATTCATGAGCGCAGACTGGTAGGGAACCTAGGCTAGCAGGTGATAACTGAATTTGTTGATGACAGGCTGAACTGGCTGTTCATTATATGCCCTCTCAGGTTGGCCATTTTTGGGCAGGTTTTGAGCAGACTGGGTGGTTGCGGACTGGCTGGAACCAGCTTCTGAACAGCCCGGATGCAGGTAGAACACTCCTGTCAGCCAGAAACAGTCTAGAATGTGGCCAACTTTAGAGGCAAATTGTCTAGTGAGGGCAGGCCAGGCACATTGACAATAAATCGAAAACTCAGGGCAGGGAGAACACAGGAACCAATGAAGGCTGGCAGTGCACACTATCATTACAGTGATCCTTATAAGAGCAAGAAAGGGGGCATTCTAAAAGGGAATAACTGAGACAGGCAGGTATAAGTAGTTAGAATAAT